TATGTGTGTGTGTATATATGTGTGTGTGTGTGTGTGTGCAACACACGCAACATATAAAGCTGGAAGTACCTGCAATGCGGTCGCTGTCGGTTATTAGGTCCGCCGAAATTTGTTCCAAATTTGCAAATGGTGAGAGCTAGAAAAATTTTGATCAGCATCCTTTAATAATGAAAACATCCATACTAACGAAGTCACGTATAGTATTTTCACATAAATTAAAATGAATATATGAAATTTTCATAAAGAGTTTTTCAAATAGAAACATTTTTGTAAGTTAGGATAATAAGACTTATTATGTTTAGTAACTCAGTTTTTTCAATTTTTTAATTGCCAACATGCAATTTCATAAAGAACATGAATAACATAGCAATCAATGGTGCTAAAGTTGTATAACTGTTGTTGGCAAGGAAAAAAGTTTTTCACTTTTAAAATTTACCATAGCTTCGAGTTTGAGCCGTATTTCTTCAATGTTCTGCAAGAAATCTCGTAGCAACTCACAGAATTCGGCAGTCTTATTTGTAAGTGTTATTTTATTTAGCTCATTTTGCACATATTTCACTCTTACTATAGCCTGAAATTTCCATATGCTTTTTCTGAAAGAAAGTCACTAATTAAGCATACACATGATGAATTTACAAGATATCGAGCAGCTATAGCAAGCAATAATAACTTACGTCATGTAGACTAGAATCAACTTCGGTTAAACCAAAACGTCGCTTGAATTCAGTTTCAGAGGACTCTTGTACCAAAGCATTCTGAACAATTCATATACACTCATCTTTACCGGAAGCAAACACCAGACAAGTAATGCAAATGGTAGTAAAGCGTATACACGAGCTTTTATCAAAATTTAAACACATTTCAATTTTAAATTCATACAAATTTTAGTAGTTTGCAATTGAAATCAGACTGAGAAAATTATTACTTCGGTGGATTGGGATGCACTGGAATTGCTTTTAGACGGTCCAAGACGACAGGATTCTGATAGCTGAAAAAGCAAATTTTACTATTAAATATGCTTTTAATCTCCTTCTCGAGTTGATCATGTATATTGATGATAAGATTTAGACAGATACACAATCATGCTGCATTTCGAAACACAGAGATTTCTAGATTTCTACAAAATTTGCTGTCATATTCCTTTAATGATACTTTATCTCGTTGTTGCAAAAATTTGAAATATCAATTTTGAAAATTATAATTTCATTCTTTTCGGACTTTCTTTAACATTCACCTCCTCATAGTCATTATCAGCCCATCGATCGTTATAATTTCTATTCATTTTCTTCGTCCTTCTTCTTTCAGTGAGAACATAAACAACTGTACAAAAAAAAATTGCTGCTAGTAATGGTAAACTGCAAAATTATAGGTGAAGTAATAGGAAGAATTCCACTATTTCTATTGTAATGGTACTTGGTATTTGGGATGCATTTTAAATGATAAACACTCTCGGGAAATGTTGCAGAATCCAAGTCTATTTTTTTGAGAGTTTATCTTTTTTTTTTTAAATTATAATACGTATAATGTAATTAAAAACACAGTCCAGTGCACCGGTTAAAAATAGGCATTAAATGAATCAACCGACTTCTCCAAATTATTTTAAAATAATCAATTCAGTAAACCAGATCTGACTGATATTTTTAAGTTTTAAAGCAGCTTCTGTCCGATTTTTTATATAATTGAACAATTATTTGTATATAATTTGTAATTTATGCAAGTCACTATTACTGAACGATCATACAACAATATTTTTGCCAAACCAACTGCACTAAATAGCATTCTCCAAACGTTTTTGTGTAAATACGGTGTGAATTTCATTTCTTTACAAAATAATTAAGATCAGACTAAAGATCGAGCAGACCCGTACATTTAACAGCTTTGAATTCTTTTAAATAAGATGCATGAGTATGAATGTCATTAAGAAATCATATAAATAAATAAATTGCCATACAATATACTAAAATATTCGAAGTGTTCAAGGAATTAAAAATAATGCTTCAGAACAGAATAGAAAAAACAAATGTAAGGCTTCATTTATTTGACAAAAATAATTATTGGGTGATAGTAAAGCAATGATAAAGCAGGCTAGATCATTAATGTAACAACCCTAATTACACCGGAAATATGCCGGACAGCTACAAAGAGACTTAAAACGAAAAAGTGGAAGACAGTTAAATATAACTCGAAAAAACAAAGGAACCTGCCTATCAGAATATAAATACATATTTTAGCTTTTTACAAAACACTATGGCCATAGAAATTGTTAACAGAATGAAAATTAAAATTTGTAGTTATTTCAACGCTTTGTCAACAAAAACTGGAAAATTATATCACACACTTTTGTTAGCTATGAATTAATCGAGCATACTAAATGTCTTAAAAGTTGACCCACTAAAAGGAATGTAAATACATAATTTGAAAATACAGAGAAAAGCAAAATAGAGATTTAAAAGAAACAGTATGAATTAATAATCTACTACAATAGTTCTCAGGAATATTAGTGCAAAAAATAAAACAGATTACATAGAAAGGAAAAAAATAATTTAAATCCAATAAAGCAATAAAAGAACTAATAACAAAATGAGAGGTCTTTTTTCTTAATTCGCTTAAAAGTACTAGCAGAAAAAAGTGAATCATACAGAGCAAAAAACTATGAATGGATCGACGATTTGTAAAGTAACGTGATAGCCTAAAACAAATATCACTGATTTGGTAACAAATGATTTTATCACTTCCAAAAATACATCATTCGCTACTTGATCTATCGTTTTATGATTCTCCAATCTTTGCGTGGTATTTCCTGGAAATATTTAATTTTCCTGAACAACAATTTGTACCAAATAATTCCAACAACAGAACACAGTGCAACGGAAATGTAATATCCATCAACGGCCAATTCGCAAACATTTCCTTTCGCTGTACATTGATTCACTGACATTTCAGTATTGCATGAACCAAGAATACTGCAAAACATTGCATAAGTCAATTTCAGATTCCGAAAAGGAACGACAAAGCAAAAATAATTTAAGATAAATAAATTTCAAGTAGATAAAAAGCATCTCATTAGTCGGGCAAATCAATTTTCGCATCAGTATGATAGATGAAATACTGAATTATTCTACGTGCTAATACTATTATGATACAATTAACCAATTATTTTCGTACGTTAAATTATATGTAAGAATCAAATCTAATATGAAAGTATGAAAAAGATGTGCAAAAATTTTATAAAATTTGTGTGACTTATAAAATGGTGGTTGAAACTTACGTTTTGGTTTCTTTGGCGACACAATTCTTAAAAGTGAAATGGTCTGTGAGCGAAAGGATAAGTGTAACGGGCCAGTTACTGCCTAAATTAGTAAGTGTATTGAGCAAAGTCATATACGTGCCTCCGATTGCCGGATCTGATACCTGGGCAAAGAATGCCATAAGTGATACGAACATGCTATAGGATGCTACCTAAAAATCACAGTAATTAATGATGCCAAATAAATTATTTTTATCACATTTGTAATCAATATTATGGCGTAATCTTAGAGTAATATATGCCAGATCTATCTCATTTTGTGAGTACACAACTTAGGATATAGTACCAACAAAGGATGGCCATCCTTGTCAAGTTTTACCAATACAAATCCGACATGGTATAAGAATAATTCAAGTTTCTGGAAAATATATCAATCCAGATATAATCCATTCAACCATTATACACTCATTTAGAAATATTGTAATTGAGACATTTTAAGAGAAAAGCAACTTTTTCTGTATCACTCGACCAATTTCCCCAAAGCATGTTGTAAATATAAAATCTCTTGACGGTATTCCTAATGAAATTCCAAATATTACTGAAAGTTTTGCACAAAAGCATAAGATGACAAGATTTTAACCTGATGGAAACAATATGCTATGATCCAAATAGCATAAAGAAAAGTTGGAAAATCCTTCGAGGACGATGAAGGTGTGCACCAAATTATTGCTGCAAATATTCCACCCAAGAATATTCTGAAAATTTTAGCAACACATAAACACTTGATTGTGAAAAATTTTATATCATATAAATGAAATAATTATAATAACTAAATAACTTACATATACAAAGCAAATATATGATGAAAGTGGTGCGAAATTCAGCTGATACTAAATGTAATGCGCAAAAATAATGAACACTGAATCAGTATTATGTATTAACAAAACTCCCAACCAACCTATATGGATAAGCAAGGAGGAAAATATTCAGAGGTCGCGGGCCCGCCACATATTTGCCAATTACCCAAGGCAGCAACATCTGAAATGTAGCATAAGAAGGATGCAACACCGCTTTACAAATACCTGATTAATGAAGTATTCAAAATGAACCTGCAAAGGTACCAAAAATAGAGCAATACTGGACATCTTATCCTTTGGCATACCCATACCAATTAGTTTTAATCCTGTTATGCCATCAGTAGCCGCAAATGCTAACTGAAAAAACAAACTCTAAGTGTTATGATATTCTTTCTATATAATTTAATTTAAAACAATCGATTTTTCAAATAAGAGTTAACACGATATTTCCATCCTGTAGTTCATTAATATTTTATACCTTTCCAGTAAGCAATACGATGACCATCCATAACACCGGTTTCAATCGCAAAATTTTCCACAAGACAGCATAAGTTTGGAAGATTCCTAACTCTAGCTCTTCATTCTTACTATCAATATCATCCCTGCAATAACAGATTAATAAGCGAATATCCCAAAACTTCTTTCAATCAGTATAAACATTAATCCTTGCATAACAGTTCTTATCTAGCAATCTTGGAAGTACAAAATTATATCATACTCACTTCTGCTCCTGATTACTAATCCTGTTTTAGCATAACCGTACAATCCTTTTCTAGCTATGACTAAACTTGATTGGTCCTCTTCGTTAGTATAAATAACGATCCAAAAATCTTACGCATACAAGTAAAACACGAGAACTGACTTATCTACGATGGAATGATCAACTTCTTTTTTGAAAATAAGTACCAGCGTTGTCGTGATCAGAAACACCCATCCCCAGAAAAATATGAAACCTGCAAAAAAAGTAAGTCTGAAATTTTCAATGAAATTGTATGCTGAGTAACATTTTCAGGACATTGCAAACACCTGCGAATAAAATGCATGATATGCCATCAATAACTGAGAAGTGATAAACAGGTAAAACATTAAGAAAAATTTTGATAAAAGCAGAATACACTCAAGAAGAGCAAATAGACAGCAGCCAGAAAACAATTGAAGTGATTGGATAACTAACTCTGATTATACGCTACAACGTTGGGTAGCTGTTTTGGCTTTTCACTGCATTCCATCTATCCCGAATGACTGCACAATCATTTTGCCATTCAGATCAATTTATTTTCTTTCCTCATTGTATAATTTGGCTTATAGTATAAATCTACACTATCAAAAACTCAAAAATTATGCAGCCATCATTATATCGACAATTTTCTTTTGATCAAAAACAATGAAATTTGGAAGGAAAGTCAGGTAAATACATATTGCAGTGCAATATAGCCCACTTTATTGATGATCGATAATGGAGAAGCCAACCATTAAAGCTTGTTTGTAAAACAATCAGCCATTTAATAAATAAGGAAAGGATCCGAAATTTTTCAAGCGATAAACAAGAATAAAATATATGTAATATTACCGGTAGTTTCTAGACTGATTAATGGTATAAAAAAGTGAGCAATCATTTTCAGAAATACATTAAAAAATCACAAAAAGTACACCCGTTTTTTAACATGTTGGGGAGGATGCTATTTTTCATTTTATAGTTTTTTCTTCTTAAAGTTTTGCACTAGTTAAATGGAACATTTGAACATCATCAATATTACAAGTTTGGTTACACTTCCAGAACGTGTACTTTCAGAAATTTGAATAAAGTAAACTAAGGGTCATTTGCAAAGTAGATTTTGGGGGAAATAAAAAGAAAAAAAAAATCTAATTTATTTAGCGGAGAAATTAATGATAGAACCAAATGAATGCGTAACTGAATATGTAATCTAGAATAAAATGACGAATAGTTAAACTAGTAACAGTAGTGGCAAAAAAAAAAAATGGGTGGGTGGGTGACGAGAAAGTGACAAAAAGACATGAAAGCAGCATTCGAGAATAAGAACAAGTCCTGATAATTGAAAATTGAAAAGCAATCAACTCTAAGCGACAAATTGAATTCCATCCTATCATTTTATTCACAGCCTAAACTGAGATTGAGAGAAGTGGATGCACAAATCTATCTTATTCAATATAAGGATTGCAAAGCCAGTTTCTAAGGCTTAAGCACCACCTGTTGGTCTTCCTCAACGGAGAACTTCTGGCCTAGGCTACAGTCGCTGTCATCCATCTCTGGAGACAGTTACGGTGTGCCACCGGCAGCCAACGACAGTAACGATAACGCAACCCAAGGATCCCAAGGAGTGGTCGATTCAACAGCTATAAACTTGAAGGAGAAGGAGAAGGAGGCTAACAACAATGCATCTCTACAACGATATACGATACCTCCTCTCTCCACTCATACTTCTGCTCTGTGTTGTTATCACAACTGTTATTATCCAAGGACATACTGCCGGTCAGTTTATTTTTTTTTTTCGTTTCTTACAAACGACTTACTTCCTCTTCATAACTGTTCTTAAAATATACCAACCATTTCACTCTTCCATACCACATGCACACTCTGATGCAATTTCCTTTCTTCTCACTGTTATTCTAGTGAAATTTAGTATAGATGCTATTTCTTAATAGTTCTAATTCTGGAACTACTGAGAAGTAGCACATTTATATTAAATTCTCGAAAATGTTCCGCTTTTGATCCCAATTCTTCTAAATTAATAAATTGAAATAGCTTTTCCATCATTTCCATTTATTTATTAGCAATACAGTTATTTTAATTCAATAATTTATCCAAAGACATATTAACGCAAGTTATAGCCATTTAACTATCCTTATATGAAAGTTAGTCGATGTACATTCTCCTTCATCCTGAACTTTTGTTAATTGCTTAAGACTTTCAATAACTTTGCATTAAATCCACTTTTTATAAAGTAAAATTCTATCCTTTTTTACATTCTTTCCTATGCAATTTATTTATTTTTAATTATAACTATGCTTTCAATGGCATCAAAAAAGGGACATAAGAAATTTGGAGGAGCACATATTACAATGGACAATTGTAAATCAGAGAAGCTTCGCGAACTTGTATTAGAAACCATTGGTCTTTTCCCTCATCAATACAGCTATCAGGCAAGGTATATGAAAGAGCAAGCTGAAATACGTTTTGGCAATTGGTGGTCAGCTGTTATCATTGGTGATCGAGGCGGCTATGGTATGAGTGCTGTTTATGATCAGTACGCTAACACAAGGTAAGTGGGATGAAATATTGTTGGAAGCATTTTTTTTAAACAAATTATAGAAAATACATGGAAATAAAAATGTATTATTTATTGTCATTTTTTCAACTATGATTTTTTTTAAAAAACGGAAAGACACTTATTTAAAATTTCTTACACCAGTCGTCAATGAATAGTGCTTCTGTAAATAAGAGAAAATGCGGATAATTTCAAAAATGCATAAATTTTGTGCAATTTTAATCATATCGTAAAATTTTCTTTCTGTCATATACAATCCGTGGTATAAACATTTTTGGAAAAATATGGAGCATATTTAATCGCTTGCTTTCGAAAGCAGGTAACATTGTGAAAGCTTAGATGTCAGATTGATTGATCTAGTCTTTGTGTTACAAGCTGATAACCGAACAAATAGGTAAGTTTTCCTAATAGGATGTCTAATGTCAACAATCTGCGCACATTTCTCACTTTTTCCTTAACCATTGTTTTTATTAGTCTCAAAAAAGCTGATACTTCATTGCATTACTTGCAATTTCATTAACGTTAACAACGCACTCTAAAAGAAAAATTCCCGGTGGAACTACAATTAAAAAACTCAATAATTCAGGATTTCACCCAAAATGATTCTCCTAAAGCTTCCACCACTTTGCGCTCGCTAAATTGCTTTTCCTACATTTCAAATTATTTACAGCTGCGAGTTGAGGATTTTCGATACATTCTACTGGATAGGACGAACGAGCTAGCTGGTGGCATACCTGATGATAATCGATG